ACCCTTCGGAGAAAGCTAATTTCTGCTGCTTGTATGTTTGATTTCATTCTTTCAGTCACTACCCACAGCTCGTGACCGTAGGTGAGGGTGGGGACGTAGATTCCCGTTTACTCTCAGCTCCGTTTTCCCTATGACAGACCAGTACACTGCAGCCACAGCACAAATCTGTTGATCTCCCACTCCCCTCAGCCGTGAACAAGACCCCGAAATACTTAAACTTCGACACTCGTCCCTGACCCGGAGTGGACACGCCACCCTTTTCCGGCTGAGGATATATAATTTATTATAATGCCAAATACCTGTAAAGATCTAAACTCCACATAATTTTCAGTTGTATATTTTCAGAACGTGGCTAATGAAGTGTCATATTTTTAAATGATTTTTTATTTAGCCTTTATTCCACATGGCAGTAGAGAGTAGCACTGGACCCGATGTACAAGAAATGGCTCCTGCAGACATTTGAAACCCTCGACGAGTCCAGTTGATGTCTTACCTACTTCCTTAATGTTTTTGACACCTTTGGGTCCACTGTGGTCACCTTGATAAACGGTTCCTTGCGATCTGGCTCTGTCCGCAGGTACTTTAAACATTGAGTTATTCAACATCTGCTGAAAAAGCCTAACCTGGATCCAACACTACAGACAAGCTAGAGACCCACCGGGTTTTAGAAAGTTAGACTCCACAGAAACAGCTCTCCTTAAAGTCACAAATGACCTTTTGATGGGCGCGAACAGGCCGGGGACAGGGGCTCAGGCCTTGTTCTATTGGACCTTAGCTCAGCCTTTGATAGCATTGATTATCAGATATTAATCCACTGCTTAAATCTTTTAGTAGGGATATGTGGATCTGTCCTCATTTATGGCTGATTGAACACTTTTGGTTTCAGTGGGAAACTTTCGGTCAGATGGAGCTGAAATTTCATGCGGTGTCCCACAAGGATCTGTTTTAAGCCCCTTGTATTTTTCATTGTATAATCTGCCTTTAGGCCTTCTCATTAGTTGTTTCAAAATTATTTCCTACCATCTGTATGCAGACGATATCCCAAAGTACATCTCCTTTAAACCTTGTGAATTGAACAACTTCCAATCCACTTCCAATGGACTGTCTTAAGGAAATTAATGGTTGGATGACAAACAATTTTCTGCAGCTGAACGCAGAGTAGACTGGGTGTTTAATTCTTGTTCCAGAGAGTATCATGCCCCAAATCAGGCAACATCTGGGTCCTTTCTCATCCTTGGTAAAGAGTCTTGGGTTAATTCTTGATCAATCTCTGTTTTTTGATGCTCAAGTCTGTGACCCGTTCTTGCTTTTTTCATTTAAGAAATATTGCCAAACTTAGGACTATTGTCTCCAAAGGTGAACTGGGGATGCTTGTTTGTGCCTTCATCTCCTCCCGATTAGATTATTGTGATGCACTCTTTTCCTGTCTGTCAAAAACTTCTGTAAATCACCTTCAAGCGGTCCAAAATGCCACAGCAAGGCTTTTAACCCACAGTCATATATTCTCACATATCACTCCCTTGTTAAAGTCCATGCACTGGCTTCCGGTTGGGTACAGATATCAGTTTAAAATCCTCCTCACACGAGGACAGGCCCCCACTTATATCATTGAGCTTCTGCAGTATGCTATGGATTCTTTTTAAAAATCAACCACATCAACCTTTGTTAGATGGAAAATTGATGTCTATTTCTACATTACACTACTAACCACTTTATTTCTATAAGCAGGTTTTAAACAGCTGGCCAATGATGTCTTTTCACAAAGAATATGTAGTTTTCAGGTATTCACAGCCCTTATGGCATCTAAAGGTCACCTAGCAGGAAAGGTCACTTTCCTGTACTGCATGGCTGTTTGACCGGCCCATATTTCACATATAAAGACATTTTTGAAACGCCTTTTCAAACTCACACACACCCCTAAAAATAACCAAGGCATGGCGTGGACTGATGTGATCTAGAATTTAGGATTTAGCTATATTTTACAAACTTGGGCACAGATTCAAATGAAACCTGGATATTGGACCCGAGCAATGGCTGTAATGTATTCATTCATGCAGATTAATGAGCTCATCGCTTACCTCATCTTCACCCCAGAAACACTAATGGTGCTCTTCAAAAGAGAGTAATTGTAAGATGGAGAACGCAGAAGTATACAAGGACACACACACACACACACACACACTATAACACTGAGTGGATTCTCTTGTGTGTAGAGTGGCTACTTGAGGCAGGTAATCAAGCAGGGATTAGGTGGCTGGATGCTCAGACCTCCTCCGTTATTGCCGAATATGCAGACACACTTTGGTTTTGTGTGTGTGTTTAAACATCAAATCACATTTTATGTATTTATTTATACCATTTATGCAGTAAATTGATTAAATAATTTCAGTTTAGTAAAAGAGCAGATTAGTGGGTTAAAATGACAAAGAAGATAATCTAAGAAATGCAAAATTCAAATTAAGTGCTTTTAAATTTTCCACCAGAGTATCACGTGCAGTTATTTTCTGTTCTCAGGATTGAGTCATTCATCACTGCCTTCCAAACCATTAAAAGGCTATAAAGTTTTGTTTTTGAAGTACATTTAGGCCCATAAAATCAAGAATTTGAAAACAATAAGGAACATATTTGGTGTGGGTTAAACGCTCTTATAGTCAGGATGGCCTTTAGTGACAACTGAATTAACTTCTTGGGCAAAATTTGTTGATTTGATTAAACCAACATAGCTCAAAATGTAAGGCGTAATTTCCCTTCTCAAGTACTGATTGCTGGGAAATCACACTGAGCTCTCAGCACCCATGAATCTGCAAAATAACCCTAGTAACCATATTTCATTACAGTTTTGTAAGTTCATTAAATACCTTTCTAATTGCAATTTCTTTTGTTGAGCAGAAAATAGATTTTAAAGGAGAATGCAGTTTATTTGCATGGCAATGTAGATTGTAGGAGTTCTATTTATTTTATAAATACTGACATAATTGATTATGCTATTGATACTTTAGAATAACCAAATGTAACTTTGATGTGACTGAATATGATTTGCGTTACATCTGAGTGCATGACTTGGACTAGTTTTATAAAAGGAAACAAAATAAATTCCGTTTTGCTTGATTAATAAATATAATGTCTGGTTTACCTTCTGAAATGGCGTTTTCTTGTCATAGCTTCTCTCCTGCTCTATTATCATACAACAGAGTGCAGTTTTTAAAGCTATTTCTACTTGTTCATTTCTCTTCACCATCTCCTGGTTTTTTCAGTTTGATCAAATATTCAAGATTTAGAAGGTTTTTTTTTAACATTTTTGCTGCATATTTCCTCAAATGACTACACTACTGAATACTATTATTAATAGTAATTATTCTGTTTTGTCATACAGTATCCAATTAAAGCCCATTAAAAATGTAAATGTGTGTAAAGTTCAACTCACACCATTATTTATGTGTTTTGATTATTTTTCACACGTTGCTTTAAGTGTCAGTTGCTGTTTTGTTAGGTTAAGGAAACAAAACTACTTGGTAAAGTTTAAGAAACGATCGGGGTTTGAGTTAAACTCGATATTTTCAAACAAAGTGAAGAATTTACAAACTTTCCCTCCATTTTTTGGCTCACCGGGAACATAAGTGCTGCCTTCAAATAGAAATGATACAAAAAAAAAAAATTAAAGGAACATTTTGAAAATACATCAGTTCTCAATGGGAAAAGGTCATGCTGGCTATGTATGCTGTTACAGAATTAAAGACTACCGCGTTGTTTGATTGAGGTGAAAATTATCGACCTACAGAGGGCTGGATCCAACAACGCCCTGAAAATCTGACAAAATTCTGCATCAGGCTAGTCCTTTTTGTCCAACCCCAGGGCACGGTCCTAATGAGATGACGGATGGTATCCTGCAGGATCTCCTTCCAGATCTATACAAATCACTGAGCTCCTGGATAGTCTGAGGTGCAACCTGGAACCATCGGACGGCCTGAAACATAACGTCCCAGGGGCGTTCTACTGATTTATGCCAGCGAGCACGTGGGCCAGTCAGTGGTATCATTTCCATCCTCCAAGAATTGCCTGCATATTCTCGCCAAGTGATGCCAGGCATTGTTGTGCACCGTATAGGGTCTGATAGTGGATTCAAGGATTTCACCCTGATATCTAATGGCAGTCAGGGTGGTGATGCGTAGCCTGTAGGTTTCTCTGTTCCTCCATGGATAGGACTCCCCAGAACATCAATGACCAACCAGCAAAGTAATAATGCTGAATAATGGTAGAGACAGCAAAATGTTCTCTGTGGCTTTTACTTTTTTTTTCTGAAGAGGCAATAGTAGGAAGGCATGAAGATAAGTTGCAAATATTAGGATTAAGACTTATAAAACAATAAAATTGTTTGTTGCAGCCAGCAGGAAATAAAAATTAAGACATAAAGTTGTCTAAAAATCTGAAATTACTACTGATGCTCCTTATGGAACAACAAAGATTTTAGATGCTAGGAATCATCATAAAAACCTCTGAGGTCTGAGGAATAAATGGTGACGTTGTTTTCTAAAGACCTGATTGGTTATATCAAGCATAAGCTGCTCCAGGTTATACCATGAGGTAGGTCTTTATCTTATAGTGGGTAGCAGATAAATGCTTTACCTTTTCTGTGATAGTAAATTCTACACAGAATTCTCCATCTAACTGGACGTGTGTTCTTTAGTCTTTGTTTCCAATCCAGGTTATTCTTTTTTTTCTTCCCTGCTGTCTGCCAGATACACCGATACCTCTGTCTGTTTTCTGCCTCTCTTATCTCGCCTTCATCTTTCTACTGAACTCTTTATGAGACTGCAGTACTCTAAAAATAATGCCTGTTAATCATATGGCTCTGAAGTAAGGAGGCTGTGTGCTGGTTCACTGCAGCTCGCGATGGTAGAAAAGAGCAAAAAGTAGTTGAACCTTCAATAAAAGGCTTGAGATAAAATGAAAAATGTTGTGTGTTAAATAATCAAAGTCTCACATTTTATTTGCTGTTGCAGACAAATTCAACGCCTACGTGACTTTGAAGGTGCAGAATGTGAAAAGCACAACCATCACAGTCCGAGGGGACCGGCCATGTTGGGAACAAGACTTCATGTTGTGAGTACCTCAAACCCTGTTACTGCTTTGCTCTAAATTTCACTTCTCAGTGTATAGTTTTTATGTTTTATCACTTTTATATGTTAATTTAAAAAATGCATTTAAATTATTACATTTAATTCAGTTTCCCTGCTTTTTGCAGCATTTTTAAGCAGTAGAAAGCCTGACAATAGCTTAAATATAAAATGACAGTTCATACATCTTTATGTAGAAACTACATACATCTTTCATCCACTGAAAGATTACGTGTTCTTTTATGGTTTAAATATTGCAACATGGTGCTGTGCTCTGGCGTACAGATTTGCAGTATTCAAATTGAATAATGTGGGGCTGAAGTAAGGTATTCCACCCAGCAGAAACTCATTGAACAGATGGCTTTGCTAGACTTGAGAACAAAATAAAGATTTGGTCAATAAGTGAAAGGTGGAAAGCTGGCTGTTCATTTGTCTATAAAAGCCTGTTACATCTGATTTAGCTTTTAAAGTAAAGACTGTCTCTTCCTCCTGCACGTCTCTGTAAATTGCCACCAGATTCAAACCCAGAACTTTGTTTCTGTCTGACAACGGATACGGAAAAGCTGCATTTCCGAAATGGGCTGAGCCTGATGTTGATACTTTCAGTATCACCCAAACTAATCCAGACTTTGAAGTTGAAAGAGATCTAAAAGATCTCTCAAAGACAACTTCATCTTGCACTTTTTAACCAAATGTAGGCAGGACCATCCAACCACACTTTAGATTCCTGGTATTGGAGGCATATTTAGTTTTGGTTTCATTTATAAGACCTATGCTATAACGCATTGCACCGAGGATCAGTCACGTTATTCTGACTCTAGCTTTGGTTTACATGTTCCTCGTTTACTTTTTTGGCTCAGCGTTGTCACTTTTATTGGCAGCAGTACGACACTAAACTCCTGGGATGTATTAAAGAAAATGCAGGGAGAAATTGGAGCTTCAGGAGTATGTGTCAGCCCTTGGATGAATGCAGGCCAGGTATCCAATGCAAGCTGACTTGTTAGCTGGCTTTAATAGGGCTCGCTGAAATTGAAAGAGCACCAGCCGCCTGTGGGACTCCAGTGGGGCACAGGCTACTAAATGGGAATTTGTGGTTGGAGCAGGTAGGATGGATAGAAAGTGAAATGACATGCCCAGCTCAGATAAGTGGACGAATTGGTGATAAATCTAATGAATTGTCCAGCCAGGTCTGAGTATATGTGAACAGCAGAGGGGGTGCAGCTGCAGCTGAAATAGCTGAAATCCCACTTTACGTTTTTTTTATTGTGATTCCTGAAGTGCTGGTTCTTGGTACTCTTCGATTGGTGTGGATGCAAAACCCATTTTTAAACTGTTATGCAGCTGCCATTTCAGTTGTATATGTCTTGAGATCTGTGTCGGCACATTACTTTTTAATTCCTACAGTAAATATTAAATGTGCATGTGCTTACTGTAGGAAGTAATTTGTTACTTTGTGTGCCACTTTCTTTTTTTGCGGATCATGTAACTAGCAGTTATTAATTTTAAACCCTACGTGTGCTGACATACATGCAGGGTTCGCAGAATAATAAGGACTTTCTTGGCATTTTTATTCTATTTGCCAGTAACTGCTGTACACTGATACACTGATTGCACTGACTGGGAGATCAGTTAAAATAAATGCATGTTATGAATGCATATGGGTCAGGCTAGGATCACCAAGGATGTCTTATACCTCAGTTCTTTGCACAGATATGCTAAGAAGCTCTGTGAGAGTGTTTACAGGCTAAACTAACGAACAAACTAATCACCAATCGTCACAAATGGTAAATGGTCTGTATTTGTACAGCGCTTTACTTAGTCCCTAAGGACCCCAAAGCACTTTACACTACATTCAGTCATCCACCCATTCACACACACATTAACACACTGGTGGTTTTGCATCCACATCGTGGAGAATAACATAAAAGATTTGAGTGAAAAACTCAAAAATCCGTGTGCATGTCATGCCACTCCAAGCACCTGGTCTTACACAAAACAGCGAACCCCAAATCCTGAGTGTCAGGTCAGCACTTTGCTTGAGAAAGCGTGAGTGAATGAGGGGTAAATTTTAAAGTGATAGATAAACATGCTTTATAAATGATTCACTAGTACAACAGTGTGAAATAGTATTTTTCTTTACATAACAGTTTAGCATTTGAATGCAGCTTGTAAAGCGCGCACCAGTATCGCACATTAATCTCCCTCCTCTCCCCGTCTGTCTTTGTCAGACACACACACACAGTTGTCAGTCGTGCATTGTGTGCTGTACAAGGGATACTGATCTTTCCTGCAGACTGATCCCTCTAGACTTGATTAGAGAATGGAGTGGAGAGATTGACTGTGAATCGACATTATTATATAACACTGTCTCCTCGCCTCACTCTTTACCTGTTACTCTGTGCTTTTTCTTCACATCCATTTAGACCATTATCCTCACTTCTCTCACCTTTCTCTCTTTGGAGAATTAGTTTTCCAGAGTCAGTATGAAGATTTTTTTTTTTTTTAGTTAAGTAAAATATTAGGTTTTATGACCTTACCCAAAAAGTTGACTCTGTTCATCTGGATGTAAGAGGTCAGCTGGATGAGTGACAGACGTTTCTCCCACTGAAAACGCTGTGATCAGATGAACAGAATCATCCTTCTGGGATTTCCTTACCTGGATGATTGAGCGTGCATCGAGATATTATGACCTTAATTGTTGAAAAAAGAACCACACAGCCCCCCATGCTGTAGCTAAATGACTAATTAACTCCTGAGTTTCATTACCAGCAGTTATGCTCAGTGGGGCGCAGAAGCAGTGCGCTGCCTTTGAGCCACGTTCGAGGTATCAAGAAGGAATTTCAAGGTTTCAGTGAGACGGTCCTATCTGTCATAGGACCTCCTGAAATGTGTTTTTATGTGTTTTATTAATGGATGAAATCACAACATACCAAAGCAAGGAACTAAGACAAATGGTAATATTTTTTTAAATAAAAAGCATTCACTACATGGGCTTGGCTTCAAGTCATGGGGGGGCCTCTGCACTCAGGTTTAAACTGGTGACTCTAGATATTGTTCTAGGTGTTGCTGTGATAGAGATCTGCAGCTGTTCTCGACCCACAGTATATAACACAGTAAATCCAATAATAAAAAACTAAAGAGAAGCTGAAAATTACCTTTTTGCATCTTCTTCTTTTTGTACTGAAATGACATTTTCCAGTGTGATGCATTGTAAATATCAACTGTATTACAAGCAGGACTCACTCTAAATATGGTTGCGTTGCTCAGGAACAGTGAAGAAGTCACCTCCTCACAGCTGGATAGTGACTGTGCCGAGACCCTGCCAGATGTGCAGTCTGACTCTTAGGCCTCACTGGGAGCACCAGGCACATCTGTGGCTTTAGATTCTTATATTGTTTCTTCTCAAGATTCTTAAAACGGATGATTACAGACAGAAGTTACCGTGCGTTCAGATACAAACAGGGATGGCACATGTCTAAGCTTACACAATGTTTGTGTGCTCATGTTTACCTTGTGTGTGTTAGTGAAGATAGGAATTGGCATGCCTATGTCACACTGGGCATCTGTGTTGATCAGGAGTAGATTTCATAGTGGTGGGATAACCAGCTTCACTGTGGCGTGCTGGTATCTTGGCTCGGATGAAGCTCGGATCAAAGAAAAAAGTCAGAGATGAGTTTGGACTGATACTAGCTTGCACTCAAACGTCATGCCAAACCTTTCACTCCTGCCCAAAATTAAAAATAAAGCTGAGAACAGTAACCGCCTTGCCAGCTGCACTTAGGCCATCCTTTCAAACTCGATCTCTCACCTGCTGATTGCATTCGCTTACTCTGTCTGACACTCTGCAACCTTCTGAAATCCTGATTTCTGATTTTTGAAAGCCACAAGATATCTGTTCTACAAGATATCTGTTTAGGTTGGGGGGGGGGGGGGGGGTCCGCTTACTTTGAAAGTAAACAGTCAGTATTTTTCCATGTTTCAACTGTTGGAAGTATTTTGTGTGTCAATCAATGGTCTTTAAGTTACATCCAGGTTACACTGTAGATATGGATGTAGCCACCTTGATGTCATCTATTCTTGTAACATAGTTTCAAGGCCTCCAGTTGAGCATTTTGGTCATTAGCGTTAATTTAACCCTTTGTGATGAGCAGCAGATAGATGTGGCTGAGACACCAAAGGACACTCCAACACCCTAAATTATGCCCTGCTTTATTGTCTCCTTTACTCTTAATGGAACCATAATTTCCAAAATGAACATCATCATGTGCTAAATATGAAATATGATCCAGACTATACATACGGGGCTGTTTTCTCAAAGACTTTCATTAAATTTGACTTATTCTTGGAGCCAAACAAGTTGCCCCCTGCTGGCCATCAGAAAGAATGCAGGTTTGAGGCACTTGGCTTCACTTTTAAAGCCCAACTTTATATTTATATTTGTGCACAGGATAATACCATTATACATAATGGTGAGCGAGGACTAATGGTGAGGTTTAGCTGAATCTTAGTGGTAGTAGTAATGGCCTGAATGAGTGTATTTTCCAAAGAGCCTATACCTCTGGAAAGACCGGAGCTTTCTCAGTTAAACCTCGGGTAACGTCACAGGTGGAGATACTGTATAAACATCTGGCAAGGATCTGTATCAGGATAGGATAGAATAGAATAGAATAGCCCTTTATTGTCATTGTACATGTCCTATGAAATTGTGGAATTCATCAACAAAATTATCCTGTAAGAATCTGTTTCATTATAGCCACAGAGTAACCCAACAACACTCTTGCATGCACACATTCACACAGACAGACTGCAGCCTGCGACATACTTGAAGATGAAAAAAATCAAAAAGTGAAGTTAGGAAAGAGTTAAACAACAACAGCAACAACACAAATGGACTCAACAATACAAACACAAATATTAAACTACTGTATTGTAGCAGTCTTTGAATGAAAGCAGTAATAGCACCAGGAAGGAAATACAAATGTATAA